TATCCCATTTTGTGACATATTGTCCCGTTTTGATCACCTGACTAGAGCTTTGCCCATTTTGTGACATATTGTCCCGTTTCCATCACCTGACTAGAGCTTTTCTTTTTTTGTGAAATATTGTCCCATTTCGATCACCTGACTAGAGCTTCACCCATTTGTGACATACTGTCCCGTTTTGATCACCTGAATAGAGCTTTTCCCATTTTGTGACATATTGTCCCGTTTTGATAACCTGACTAGAGCTTTACTCATTTTGTGACATATTGTCCCGTTTCGATTACCTGACTGGAGCTTATCCCATTTTGTGACATATTGTCCCGTTTTGATCACCTGACTAGAGCTTTACCAATTTTGTGACATATTGCCCCGTTTCGATCACCTGAATAGAGCTTTACCCATTTGTGACATATTGTCCTGTTTCAATCACCTGACTAGAGCTTTTCCCATTTTGTGACATATTGTCCCGTTTTGATCACCTGACTAGAGCTTTACACATTTGTGACATATTGTACCGTTCTGATCATCTGGCTAGAGCTTTACCCATTTTGTGACATATTGTCCAGTTTCGATCACCTGAGTAGATCTTACCACTTTTTTTACCTAGTCCGCAATTGTATCCATCAGTAACCTGGAGCTGAAGATGCTCTAATCTCTTAGTTTATTATTTATGAATGAAAAATTACAACAATAAAGTATAACAATGTTACATGAAATTCAAATATGGGATTTGGAAACAAGTTTGGAAAAACTTTTATAAATCAGTTTTCTAAAAAAAAAATAACATCTATTTAACAAACAATATGACGTGCAAACAGTATATTCAGTTTAAGGTAGCATATAATAAATTTGAATAAATACCAAATAAAAAAAAAACCAACTAACAAATAAAAAAAAACAACGAAACAGTAAACTTACTTTCTTGATAGACAGTCACTGGAACCACCACACATGTCCGATTATATTCGATTACGGGCAATCCACTCGATTTGACATCAATTTATATAACTAATATAAACATATACAAGGTCAACTTTCAAAACGTTTTGTTTTATTTATATATTCAGAAACTTTATGAAATATTTGCATATTGTCCTCATCGGACTTAAAACTGTCCCCATATAAGATAATCTTAAGATTAATACTGTCCCGATAATATCCCTTCGAATTTCATTATATTTGGACATTTGAAGAAGTAATGAGAGGTAGTGTCTACGTGACCACAGGAACACAGTGCGTTTTGATAAGATTTTTTTTGAATAGATGGTCCCTTAGAACACTACTCTGGAGTCTGAGTCTTGCTGAACATATTTGTTCTCTTCTACAGCCTAAGTGAAAATACAAAGGTATTTTATTAATATTTTGAAAGAGATACGTCTTAAAACCAGATTTTGATTGATTTAAACGAATGTCGTCTGAAATATAATTCCAAAAGTTTATAACGGCTGGTAAAAATGACTTCAGGTAATAGCTTGTACTGCATAATATAGTTTGTAAATTTGAAGACCCTCTAGTCCTGTGGTCATGTAGATCAAGCTCTGGTGTGGAACTAATACAGAAAGATAATCAGGACAATCTCTGTGAAACATTTGGTGAAATTTTAACAACTTATGTTTATTACGCCGAGACTGGTGAGTTTCCCAACCTATTTCATCGTACAGCAACTGTCTAGATGTTATCTTGGTACCACCTGTGACAATTCTTGCTGCTTCTAGTTTCAAGTTTTCCAAAGATGTTTTTAAATAATCAGGGATATTATCTCAGACAATATCACCATATTCTAAGACTGGGCGTATAAAATATAAATAAATAGTCTCTACATTCTTCCTTTTTAGTCTAAACTTCAGCTTTCGGAATAATGCTAATCGTGGAATAGCTTTATCAATAATCATTTTTACATGATTATTCCATTTTCCATCTTCATTCATAATAACCCCTAAATGCTTGTGCGACTCATTTTCTTTTATGATATTATTAGTCATATAAACTAGTGGGTGATGAGGCTTATGGTGATTTTTTGAAATTGTCATTATTTCTGTTTTGTTTGGGTTGAAATTGACAAGCCATTGGTTAGACCAATTATATATTTTCTCAATATCTTTATTTAGCTTTTCTGTCGCTTCATATTCGTTATCAACCACTATATAAATTAAGGTGTCGTCAACAAAAAGTTTAATATCACATTCTATATCATTGACTATGTCATTTATATAAATAAGAAATACAATAGGACCCAAGATAGACCCTTGGTGTACTCCAGCTGATACATGCTCAGTGTTGGACGTTTCTCCACCAATGACAACCTGTTGCCTTCTTGAGTTCAGATAGCTTTCAAACCAAAGTAGCAATCCTCCATTAATTCCGATTTTTTTAAGCTTATACAGTAAGCCTTTATGCCAAACTCGGTCAAATGCTCGACTTATGTCGCAGAAAATTACCCTTACCTCTTTCCCTGTATCTAATGCTTTACCAAAATCGTTAATTATACATAGGAGTTGCTTTACCGTCTAATCTCTTAATGCGAACATGCAGTACAAGAAAGCATTTGGACTGAGGGTTTCACTTTGTTAAGTTTCAGTAATTCCCTTTGAAGTTAACCATTACAAGTTGGTTTATCATTATGAAATATATGTGTAACAAATGTGTAGAGTTTGACGTAACCACGATTTTAACATTTTTTCCTCGATTACATTATACCCGGATTAGACTTATTATCGAATTTGACTTATCATGATGTACATGATGATGCCAGATGTGCTTAATCTTCCAGAGCACCTAAGATAAGTCCCAGTTTTTATTGGGGTTCGTGTTTTTCTGTCTTTAGTTTTATATGTACTATTTTGTGACCTACTTGTCTTTTCTTCGTCGTCTTTTTTTTTTTTTTTCTTATTTTTTTTTTTTCACCAAATGAGTTTCTAAAGTCTCCTTTGTATTGTCTGCCTCTTTTTTACTTGTTATAAAAGATCTCGGAAGAAATCAATAAACATTTGTAAAACTGGTAAATTCGTTAATTGACAAAATCTAATCATATCAACTATCACAAAAAAATGATAAAACGATATTAAAAGCAGAAGATTGAAACAAAAAGAAAGCTCTGAAATTCCAATACATATAAAACATGGATTACAAAGACATTAACGCGTCTATGCTACAGGTGGTTTAAATCAGATGTGGTTACAACTAAGCAGAATATCTACTAGTAATAGATAATTTACAACCTAAGTCCCATACATCGTGAAATAAATTGCAGAATTGACTTCTTGTGTTTTAAAACTTGATAACAGATTGAAAGAATAAGTCCAACTTTGTTTGATAAAATCGAGACAACAGTAGTTTACCGATGTTCAATTCTTCTTAATACCTTACGAACCAGGTTTAACAACAAAATCTGAGTGAAATCGGGTCCGGCGACAGGGTAAGTGTCTCTCATTTTGCTAAATTAAATGTGCTTTGACTAAATGCTTTTTTGAGTTTCATATTTGTTTGTTTTATAGGAATTAAGATATAACACAATGCTGACTGCCGCATCCTAATATTCGACATTTTTACCTATTATGCCTGTTTGTATTGTTCACACATCGTTGTCAATATAATAGAATTTAATGCAACTGTCATACAAGTGAGAGGTTTAGCTAGGTTTAAAACCAGGTTTAATTCACCATCTTCTACATAAAATAATGCCTGTACAAAGTAAGGCATATGACAGTTATTTTCAATTCGTTTGGTGTGTTTGAGCTTTGATTATGCCATTTGATTAGGGACTTTCCTTTTTGAATTTGCCTTAGAGTTCGGTATTTTTGTTATTTATTTTTTGTTATGCACACATATCCTGCATGCGAAGCTACCTTAATAAAAATGTCACATCTGGAATTGGACACAATCGGTGTATTTACAAATCGATTGACTATTTTTGTACCTAAAAATCTAGAACCGCGAAAACATGTCGCCAGTAAGGAGAGACTCATAAACATCGTTATGATGACCTTTGAATTTGTTCTGTGACGATATCAGTCGTTCAATATAATAACTCTGTTGGGTCAGTTTTTAGGTTGAAGCGCACTCCTGTTAATGAATTCAAGTTAAGTATAAATATAAACGAGCATAATTTAATAATTGTAAATGTCATGTGAATAGCAAGAGTGTTAGTTACTGCTGAGGAACGGGAAGTTGATAAGTTGAAAGTTAAATTCATTTCATTGATCCTAATTTAAAGTCGTCCATGTGTGTGAATATCGTAGACACGATCAAAACATGTATCATACCAACTAGTTTCGGTAGTATCCTTGATCATCAGTTCACTGGTGCTTGTAAGATAAAAGAACTCAAATGAATCTGGGTTATTGAGTGAAAAGATATCATCGACATATCTGCAAGTGAAATTAAAGAACGAAGCAGGATGCTTTTTCTGTCTTTTTGAAGGTTTACTATGAATTGATTTTCATAAGAGTGCAAAAACAACAGGTTAGCAAAGAAAAGCAAACAATTAATACACATTGGAATACAGACTATCTGTTGAAATGTCAAGCCACAAACTCTTTACAAATATATACTATCGATTAAAAAATCCAGCATTTTTATGATATCCTCTTCAACGTATTTGTTGTTGGACTTAGTGTGGGTTTTCACAAAGTTATATTATTCATGACAAAAACGCATTAAAAATACCAGCCTTATAATTTGGTTCTCCAGACGGCGCATTTCGTCTATACAAGACTTCATGGTTGTGGTCGATTCAAGACAGTGGGATAGCCAAATCGAATATAATGTTAATGTGCATCAAACCGACAATTCAGTAAGTTCCTTAAAAATGTATATGATTATATATGTTGGAATTTATTTCTTATTACACAGACTCCTGCGTTGATGTTTGACGAAAACACGATAGGCAAACATATGTATTAAAAAAAAAACGTCTAAAAAAAATCTAATCTTGTAGTGTAAAAAATGGTCAGTTGTTTCACTTTATTCTAACAAGTATTTTAATTCATACACTGACGACTCCCTTAAAGCATACTGTTTTTATTCATAAAAACAATAATTAAAGCAAATCTATTTAATTCAATATGACGTATCTATGTTACATACATATTTTATAAATATATTCCAATTATAATCATGTTGTCTTTTACTGAAAGAATTTTAGTTGTAAAAACTAAAAGTTGTATTCCACGAAAAAAAAGTATGACAGATCTAGAAACAACGAGAAAAAATATAAAGAAGACAGAAAATTTTAAAATCACACAGAGAAAAATGAATTTGATTTGTTGACATAAATGTGCTTCTTTGTTACATATTTGTTTGTTTAATAGTGTTTAAGATTATCACACAAAGTTGACTGCTGTACCCCTATTTTTGACTTTTGTACCTATTTTTTTTGTTTGTTTTGTTCACACATTGTTGTCAATATAATGAAATTTTACACGACTGTCATAGAAGTTAGCGGTTTAGCTAGCTATAAAACCAGGTTTAATCCATCCTTTTCTACAAATTGAAAATGCCTATACCAAGTCAGGAATATGACAGTAAGTATCCATATATTTGTTGAGTTTGAGCTTTTGATTTTGCCATTTGATTAGAGACTTTCGGTTTTGATTTCCCTCGGAGTTCATTATTTTTTGTGATTTTACTTTTAACTACAGTTAAATCAAAAACGCGTATACTAATTGAAATGATCTAATTACTTGAAAGTTTATATCATGTTTTATTTTACTGGTTTGTTATATATAGAAATATACTTTTTTCATTTTGACAACAGGAGTATTTGAGAATTTGTCGATTTTTTTCTTTTTTCATAAACACATATCTTCTAACCGGACCTATACCGTCTAAGAGGAAATCATTAACATGTATTGCAACTTGACACAGGAGAGTAAAATTTAACAGTTAATTTCTTATTTTTCAAACAAACAACTGCTAATAAATACAAGAAAGAATTAAGTCAAACATGCAAAATCTCGAAACTGTGTAGGTTTAATACCACCATATCATAGTACGTCACATCCGGTTGCATACGATTAAGGGTCGCCAAAAAATATGCCCTTGAATTTGACAGTTGTAGGCAACGTTTCCTACATTTCCGTGCAGTTAAAAAAATCTGATTTTTTTACTTACTAGTATATGTTGGCTTCTCAAGAATATCTGTAGCTATTATTGCAAAATACAGCTTAGAACTTTGGAATAAAAAAAAACAATATAACTTTTTTTTCAGTTATATTGATAACTTTTTAGAATCTTTACACAACATGCTTAGGATTTTTTGTCAGGAATATGGCAGTTGTTATCAAGTAGTTCGTTCCAATGTATGATGTAGTTTGTTTTTGTTGCACTTCAGTGTTCCTTTTGTTCCATTGTTTTCCTCTAATGGTTGATGTGTTTCCCTTGGTTTTAGTTTGTAACCCAGCTTTGTTTTCTTTATCAATTTATGAAGTTTGTACATCGGTATACTACTGATGCCTTTATTTGCACAAAAGTGTACCGTTTTCATTTGATGATATGAATACTATATATATCAACTAAGAGAATATTTTGATTAGAAAGAAATGAACATGCATTTTCATATTAATGTAAAGTTTCTATACCATTACTTGTGGAGTAAAACGCAAGTAAATAAAAGACATTCTGTTTCAAACTACTTGTAAATCATGTAGAGGTATTACAGGTAAAATATTCATCATGCTTGTTCTAAATTACCGGTCTATTCATACATCCCAATATATTTACATGGATTTTCTTTCCTTAAACAAATACAACACCACGTAAATTACATTAAGCAAGATGTATGTCTTACTTATCTCGAAAACAATAAAATAATTCAGACATACACTCTGGCATTGATAACATTACTGTATCAATGAGAAAGAGTATTATATAGTAAAACTTGCTGAAATTCAAATGAGAATCTGTCACTTAATTATCCAACTCATATGAAAGTATACGTGTACAAATGAAAGCAAAACAGAATATTATGGTTGGTTTTGGAAATCAACCTATAATCAACTCTTATTTGTCTTTATTAGAACAATTTATTTGCAATCACGAAAAGAAACAATAGTTATTGCAATTCATTCATTGCTATGTCAGCTTATTGGATTTGTTTGGGTTTTTTTTTTTAATTTTTTTTTATTTAAAGCTTTTAAACATTTGTAAGATGACGTGTGAATGTTTAACTTACTCTTTTTATACTCGTAAGTTATGTTCTCTACCAGAATACACATTTCCTTCCGATAGGTTTCGTCTCAGTCGAACATGTCTTACGAAGTTTACATGGTAACTCTTTATGCATTAAGTGTACTCATTTCAACGTTAATCGTAATGAGTATATGGTGGTACAAGCATTCGCCACAACTCGGCCGATTCCGAACCTTCATCAGGAAGAGAGTAGCGGATTAACCCGAGTATTGCCGATTGGTGTTACACGATCAGTATTGATAACTCTGTAAATTAGTTGAACAGCAAATGCACAGATAGTTTCAATAGTTTTCTTTTGTTCTTGTCGTCTTTCCTTTCAACAAAAATATAAATTTGATGCGACTGCCATAAAAGTATTAGGTTTGGGTAGCTATCAAATCAGGTTTAGTCTACCACTTTCTACAAAAGAAAATGTCAGTACCGAGTCAGTAATATGACCAGTTGACAGTATTTATCCATTCGTTTGTTGTGTTTGAGCTTTTGATTTTGCCATTTACTTAGGGACTTTCCGTTGATAATTTTCCTCGGAGTTCGGTATATTTGTTATTTTACTTTTTATTCCTCGATTGTAATAAAAACTTTCATACGTCATTGTATTTTTGCTAAGGACATTTCTTTCCTATATATATGACAGATACCAACTGTATAAAACACGTAAAAACTTACCCGCAATTCTCGCAATACCTAGAATGTATAATTGAAATGTATTGATAATTGAATGCATGTGAAATTATTATATTTGGTAAAGATTACAACTTGGACATCTCAAGAATTTATAATCCGTTCACTAGGAAATGTAATTTTATCTTGATAAGCAATTTTAATCTATACATAAATGTAAAACGTCTGAATCGTTAAGTCTGGTAAGATATATATTGCATATATTTCTTCTTTTTTTTTGTACATTTAGTACTATTCAGACAAGTTTTGAATAGCATGACCATAGACTGAGTTCATCGTAAAGAAATGGTCTGAAGGTAACAGAGTTTACCACAGTTGATCACTTCGACTTTTACTGAAACATTAAACATGACTTCAACATTTATTTTTTCAGACCTGTTCAGAACAAAATGACAATTTCAGTTGTGTTGTATGTATGTGATATATGTGTAAGCAAATTTGCTGCAGCCGAATCCTTATGATTGTTACATTCACCAAATATGTCTGTTTGGGTTTCACATCCAATTTTGTCAATATACCAATACTATTAACAGCTAGCATACAAAATGCGGTCAGACTTTTAAATAACCCGCTACGTTATTCAGTGTACACCACATTTTTGATATTATTTCTTTATAAACAGAAAAATTCCTGTCATTCCCTAAATAAAGCAGACCTTCTAGTTTCGATAATATCCTTGATCTCAGGTTCACAGGATTATATTATATATTTTCTTTTTATGCGCTGCAAGAGCACAATAAAATGTAACTTATTGATACACTGGATATCGTTAATATATAATGATATAAACAACATTAAAATATCAGAGACATCAAGCTAATAATTGTGTACAGCAGATGCACGTTTCGTCTACAAAAGACTCGTTAATGGCGCTCGAATCAAAATATTTGCAAAGCCATATCCATCAATTATAACGCAGATGAAAAGCTTTAAACCAAAAATTCCGAAAAATTTTCAAATACGGCTAAGGCAATATATACATGATATACTTGGGAATAGAAAATTAAAGAACTTTGCAGGAAGCTTTGTTTGAACTTGAGAGATCGCATTACGAATTCTGCTTGACATGAGTACCAAAAAAGTCGACCAGTAGAAATGCGCTATTAATTCTAATTGAAATATAGCTTGTCTGTTGAAATATCAATGCACTAAACTCGAAAAAAAAATATATTTTGAAGAAAATCATCTTTGATTTATGAGGGAATTATCAATCATCTTTTGAATATTTTTATCAGAATCCCTCTACCATTCCAGAGCCTCTGAGATAATCATCCGTTTTAAGCCAGGTTCTTGTTGCACAGTCTTTAGTTTTTCTATGTAGTATTTTGTGAATGTTTTGTCTTTTCGTCTATTGTTATTTTGCCATAGCGTTTTTAGTTTATTTCAACTTGTGAGTTTTGAATATACATGATGCATACAGGCTATCTTCCGCCTCTATTTTAAGTGACAAGACCGGTTCCAACTATTTCATACTGATTATGAATAAAAACTATGCGTATAGGTAAAAGCTTATTACCATACTTATTTTTGTACGATAAAGTTTGAATGACATCTACTGTTACGTCATTGCCCATCCTGTTTTAGGTCGAGGCACGCCTTTGCCTTTATCATTATTATTTCTTGGAAGGAAAAATTACTTCTTCTATGCAGAATACTAATAGGATTATATGCAATTGATTCAACATCTTTGCAGTACTCCAGTGTTTATGTAAAATACAATATATTTAAAGCTAACCCATATAACTAAAATAGGTTTTGAGTAAGAGGGAGGATTGAACTCACAAATATGATTGACCCCGCCATATTCTTTATGTGCCTGTCAGGGGCATGTATTTCAGTGGTTGCCGTTGGTTCATATCTGTCATATTTATTTTCGTAAATTGATTTGTTATAAATATGTCTGTTAATTTTCTCAATTGAATTGTTTCATATTTTTCATGTCGGTACCTTATACAGCCGACTATAAGGTATGGGTTGTTCTCATTGTTGAAGGCCGTACGGTTGCCTATAATTGCTTACATCCACTTCATATGAACTTGAGTGGATAGTTGTCTCATTGGCAATCATACCTCATCTCGTTATTTATGTTATTTTTCTATCTTTTTTTTTTCTAAATTCACTGAATCGAGAAAGGAATATTTTAAACACTATTATTTCAGTTGTATGTCAAATTCATATTCAATAACGGAGATTTTATAAATTTACCAATATATTCAATAATTTCATAGAACTCCTAAAATATTTAGGGATTTTACAAAATCATACATTTTATGAATTCGCTGTAACATAATTATATTCACCATCACAATATATCTGAATATCATATTTTACTTTTAAAAGAATGGTGAGATACTTTAGAAAGGTGTTACGTCTAAATTTTGACGCCCCGGCAATACATCGTTTCTTTTTAATGATTTTTGAGAAGATAAGGTATCCAGTAAACAGACAGGAGATGTTCTTCGTCCTGAATTTGTCAACACAAAAGGAAAGAAGCAAGCGTCTTGGTATTTTTAAGACTAAAATTTTTGATTGCTTTTTACTATTAGTTGTTAGCCGAGTATGGTTTTAAGTAAAGACGTGATTTTAAACAAGAAGCTTGCCGTTGAAAACAGTTTCCTGAAACAGGTTTGTCCTGTATCACAGAACGTATTTGCATAAGATAAACAATACTTACAGATTGTCTCTGCTGTAAAAGACCAACACAATTAAATTTAGTGTAAAATGAGTTATCCATTTTTTTAGAGTCAAATACAATTCAAAATTGTTTTTTCTAGTTCTTAAAAAGCAAAGGATCACTTTCAGCATTTTTTTTAAGTAGACTTCAAACATTTCTAGATTGTGTATATTTGCTTTTGTTCCAAGATAATCATTAAAACTGTTCTATGTTAGAAGAGGAGAAAGAGTCCAGCTTTAGTCAACTTTGTTTAATCGGAAATAGTGAAGCTATATACAGAGGCATGTTAACATTTTCGCCGTATCAATAATGCTACATAATTTGATATAGATTGTTTAATGAATCACAGACTTTGAGGTGGTACATAACAACATAGGTAGATAACTCTGTAAAAACCAGCTGAACGTTTTCATCACGTTCTATTGTTAAGGAAATACTAAGCCTCTCAATAATCAAAATTCGAGTTTGTCAAACTGCTATATATTCAATGCAATTGGTCCGATAAAGTGTGTGGTTCTATCTTTTGGATTTTTTTTTTTAATTTTTGTTTTTGGGTCAAGGTAAATATTTTGTCAGAATTGAATGAAAATTAAAGGAGCCAAATTTATGTTATTCACGGTGTTTTTTACCACTTTAAGAAGTCCATTAATATTAACACTAAATTGTCATATAAGCGGGAGTTTTTGGCTAGCCATAAAACAAGGTTCAACCAGACATTTTTTTCTTAAAATGTCCTGTACCAAGTCAGGAATATGGCAGTTTTTATCAAATAGTTCGGTTTCCATGAAGGTTGGCGTTTGTTTTTATTGCACGTCAGTGTTCCTTTGTTTTCATATTAAAGTTGATGTGATTCCCTTGGTTTTAAATGGTATCCCGGATTTGTTTTCTCTCAATGGATTTATGACTTTTGAACAGTGGTATACTACTGTTGCCTTTATCATGTTTATTTACTGCATGTGATGCGCATTTTGATCATCAATTGCCCTTCTGTGACGCTCGAGGACAACTTATCGGTCCTCCATTATGATTCCCTTCAGTGGCGCTCGAGGACAACTATATCGCAATCGGTCCTTCTTTATGATTAAGTTTAGGTATCCAGTACAAAAGCTGGGAGTTGTTCATCGACCTTTTTATGTAATTACAAAATAAGAGAAACGATAGTAAATTTCCATATCATTGCTTTAATGATAATGACTTGTATTGTAAAGACTAAAACCATTGGTTGCTTGATATCTGTAAGTTTCTAGAATGGTCTTAAGAACAGACATGCGCCTGTCCCAAGTCAGAAGCCTGTTCTTCAGTGGTTGCGGTTGTTGCTATGTTACATATTTGTTTTCGTTCACTTTTTTGTACATTAATTAGGCTATTAGTTTTCTTTTTTGAATGGTTTTACATTTGTGAATTCGGGGCCTTTTTTTAGCTGACTATGCGGTATGGGCTCTGCTCATTGTTGAAGACCGTACGGTGACCTATAGTTGTTAATTTCTGTGTCATTTAGTGTCTTGTGAAGAGTTCTCTCATTGACAATTTCCCGTATCTTCTTTTTTTTCTTTTTTATATTTAGAACAGACATGGTTAGCATCAAGAAGTTTGGCGTTGAAAGAAATTTCCTAAAACATCACTTGTAAAACAAAACAATACTTAATGAAGCCTTAGATAATTAATAAACAGTACTTACCGATTGTTTCCGCTTTAAAAGATCAACAAAATAAGATTAAGTGTACAGTGAGTTATAATATAACTTAAAGTCATTCGAAAGTAAACTACTAATTTTCTAATAATAAAAAGTAAAGGATCACTTTCAACATTTCTATAGATATAAGAAGATGTGATATGAGTGCAAATGAGACAACTCTCCATCCAATTTACCATTATAGGTCAAAGTACGGTCTTCAACACGGAGCCATGTTTGTTTTGTTTTCACATCGTTGTCAATATATTGATATTTTATTCGACTGTCATACAAGTGAGAGGTTTAGCTAGCTATAAAACAAGGTTTAATACACCATTTTCAACATAAAAAAATGCCTGTACCAAGTCAGGAATATGACAGTTGTTAACCATTCGTTTGATGTGTTTTAGCTTTTGATTTTGCCATTTGATTACGGGCTTTCCGTTTTTAATTTTCCTCGGAGTTCGGAATTTTTGTGATTTTACTTTTTTTAACACTTTTGTAAGAAAACTTCAATTTAACATTTCTATAAAGTTCAGAAATAATGATTATTAATGTTAGTATTTGAGAAGCGGTATATAAGATCAAATAAGAACAGAGGCTCATACAAATTTTCCAGATCCAACATGCTACAGCATTGCATATAGATTAATGAATTTATCGTTTAACAGACATGATTTAAGTCGTACAATTAATCTTTCCCGGTTATGGATGCTGTATAAGTAATCAGTTATACTTAATCAGTTACAGATCATAGTTTTTATTAATCCACTAACACATTTATCTAATATACAAAACTCATTAATTTTGTAAATTCACAATAACATCTTTACCTCGCCACAAAGTTTCTCTCGTTGTAAAAATCAAGGCAAACAAAAAAATATTAATACTAAAAGGCATACAATACCGATCTGTTAGTACTAGTTCTACTTAAAGCTAGTTTAAAGTAAATAACAATTAATACATAATCCCGATTTATTGATTTAAACATTAATTGGTGTACGTTAACAATTTTAGTTTAAAGATGAAAACAGTCTTCAAAACATGTCTAACATTCTCGTTTCTCGTTTTTTATATAGATTATACCCTTGGTTTTCCCATTTAAATGTTTCTTTAGTCATATTTAGGGCCCTTTATAGCTTGCTGTTCGGTGTGATCCAAGGCTTCGTGTTAAAGACCATATTTTGACCTATAATGGTTTATATTTACAAATTGTGACTCTGATAGAGAGTTGTCTCATTGGCACTCATACCACATCTTCTTATATCTACTATGTGCACTGCCAACATAAACCCCGCATGTAGGACCATAAATGTTCGTCGTCGTTAGTTTACCCTTTTTCGTCGCTTCACATCTTGTCTAATCGAGGACTTGTATTTCTTAATATACGTACGGTTTCTGCACAGACAAAGGGAATGCAGTTACATATACAATTTTCAAACATTTTATTTAGAATTCAGGTATTCAGCAGAGTAGTCGGGATGATCATTTTACCTGAGTGTTGATAGAGCGAATGAAAGAGGGGCCTTATGTTCTTTAAATTGAAACATGAGTTAATTAATGCAATCTTAACAATTCAAAGCTGTTTAATTTTACGATATCCTGGTAATTGCAGTATGTTTGTTCTGGTTTATTTGATTATTTTATTATGGAAGCCGTAATAAGTGGGAATCAGAATGCAGTCAATCTGCACGTCATTAGTATATAAGAGATTAATTAACAAAATAAAGTTCCAACAAAGGCAGTATGTGCATTGCTCATTGTTGAAGGCCGTACAATGACCTAAAGTTGTCAATTTCTGTGTCATTTGGTCTCTTATGAACAGTTCTCATTGGCATGCAATCATAGCAAATATTTTTTTCTATATTCTAACTCCTTCAGATCATTTTGACTGTAGGTAGATTTAATTGTTCTTTTGTGCCTCTTTTTGGTCATATAACTCTTTACGTGTTTAAGGACTAATTAAAGTTTATGCCATTCGTGTAGATGGATTTTTAGAACGTAACTTCACAAAGTATTTACATCACGAAACATTTACAACCTAACACGAAAGTTATGTGGGTTTTACTCAGGTCAGGTTTTATATTCTTATTTGAATATATTACCACATAATTAAACAACTTGAAACATTCCTCTCGGTTGTCAAGTTATAAATTTTTTTTTTTCTGTTCAAATCATTTGTCATTTGTGTAATACACTGAGTTAAGTTGAGGTCGCAGTATTAATAATAATAAGGATATATTGAATTGTACTTACAAACAGCAACCCATACTACAAATATAATGAAGGTAAACACTAAATATCTTTAAGGACTAAGGACTAATTAAAGTCCTTAAATTTAAACATGCTAAATATGGATGATTAGTGTAAAATAAAGTTTACATGGTAAATAACATAAAAACAAAATTGATAGTTATTTCAGAACAAGCTAGTAAAACAATTGAATATAAAAAAGATAGACGTAATATACCAAGGGGATATTCAAAATAGTCGAGAGAAATCGACAAACCTATGACAAAACAAATCAATAGTTGACGAAAACAATGGAAAAGACAAACAACTAAAAAAAACACTTCATAAAAAGATGTATAGAGAGAAACGCAAAACCAATGAAAAACCGAGGTTGATCTTATGGGCTCTTATAGCAATGCGAATTCACACTCAGTAAAACAGTCATATTCGGGAATAGGTCATGTTCGGTACTTAAAAGAGCAGACGACGTAAATGGTAAACCACAATTAAAGACGTGGTAAAAATGTCATTAGTTAGTTTAGACACAGACATATCGTATGGATCAACCAATTCGTGATGGTGTCCATAAAATTTACGGTGTGTCATTTTTTATCTTTCCTCCTCATAACTTTGTTAGGGCAGTTTCTGCGTAAGGAGCACACTCCTGTATATGAAGTTCTCTCAAATGTATGGCATACGAATAGAACTCCATTGTATTGACAACGATGTGTAAGCAAAACAAACAGACATAAAAGGTCAAAATGTCAAAAATTGGGGTACAGCAGTCAACGTTGTTTTATCATCTTAAACTATAAAAACAACTAACCATTTTAACAAAAAAAAATGGCATATAGACACTATACAGACAAAGAACAGTAGCAAAAATAAAAGACAAGGATATGCAAATAACCATAGCACAATAACACAATGGCGGGATTTGGTTGACTGTTATCAATATCTGAGTCATCGATGATCAATGATGTGTTTCAATTGTCGGAGCAGCAATCCGTTACTACTTTCCTTGATTGGAACATCGCATCCCAAAATGTATGTTATCAACGAATGTACTTTCAAGAACAACACGCCTGGTTCCACATGTGAACAATATAGTACGTAAATCGTTCCAGAACACATGCAGTTGTTGGTAATGATGTATTGGGATGATCTGTTATTAGTTTTCTATGTAGTATGTCGTTAACTGTTGTTTGTCTTTAAATGCTTTCAGGTTTAATTGCTATGGTGATGTCAGTTTCTCAGTAATAACCAAAATATCCATAGTAAACTATACATACCCCTTCCTGCAAAATTTAAAAAGAGATTAATATTAGTAAGCAAAAAATATCATCACATTTCATGCGGATATAAAGGGGAAAAATCAGGTTTATACGAGATTATACATTGAAAAATAAATGCATTACATTAACGAACAGAAAAAAAAAGATAGGATAAAATAGAAAACGTCAGTTTATATTAAGTTTTATCAAATACCACGAGATAATTTGGTACGGTTTTGATAACCTTCCAAAATGATCTAAATGGGGGAAACAAACCCAACTGACTGTAATTTAGATATTGTCACTGCTTAGCTGCTTTTTGTATTCATGATCCTGTAAAAGTGTACTTACCACTTTAACGGATGAAAGTCAAATAAACTTTTGAGATTCGATTTAATTTAGGTAAACAAAAACTGAAACAGACACTAAATTGGTAACAATTCTACATATATTCTCCTTACCTTTCAGTTTCGATATGATGGCACCCTTAAGTTTTTGTCAAACTGTATAAGATTGATACAAAATTAATTTTCTTTCAACTTTATAATGAAATTGTATTGATAATAATAAAAAAAAACATTGCTAATTAGGGATACTGCAAAATAAAGTTGCCGTATTCCTCATTCGTATATTATTGTTAACTGTGTAAAATAGATAGTAGTATATGGTATTCGATATATATTGCATCTATTAAATTCTCTTACACTTTGATGTTCTAAGGTATTTTTCAATCTCTTTTTGTGATATCAGAACTACTAATTGATTATGCTAATAAATTTTGTTATTTTTTTTTATATACAATGACTCAATTCGGGTCAGAGTCTCAATACTTATTCTAATAAACACAATAGAGGTATTCCCGTAACAGTTTGGACAACCGCAATACTTATGTTGGTAATACTTCTGAATTATTTACCTTTAACTTGTTTGTCCTCGGCTTTCGATAACAGTGATTTTACGCTCACCCAGTCTGTCTGAGGCCTTCCAGTGGGGATTTAAATAGAATAAAAGAGTAAAGTTCAAGCATGTGCACGAGAAGAAAAAAGAATTTCAAGGTATTCAACATTGAAATCAACACAAAAGGTTTAGTCCTCTGCTAGGCATTCATATTATTTGATTTAGGCGTTTAGAACCTTTCGCGACCCAATAGTATATATGTCTATAACAAGTCCGATGTGAAAAGAGGGCGTTACAGACGAATATTCACCTAATCTGACCCAGTCAATTGATAACCTTAGCGCGCCAAGCAATGGTCTCGTCCACACTGTCATGAAAACGATTATAAATTGTACTTACATCTTGCTGCAAAATATTGAAAGAGATTGATATTACATGTATTAGTAAAGACAAAAATATCTGATCACATTTCATGCGGATATAATGTAAAAAATCGGGTTTAAACGGAATAATACCTTGAAAAATGATAGCATACGAACAAATTATACTTCGCTTCTTCAACGCATATCACTGCTACAGTAAAACCACTCATGACTCGAGAAACCGTTTAATGATTATGATGATGAATGGCTGTTTAACGGTCAGTGGTAAATTAAATTAAATGCCTATTATCTCTGCTCTTTGGCCGAGTTGTTGTCTCTTTGACATATTCCCCATTTTCTTTCTCAATTTTATTATTCAAGACGAGAACAATATGAATGTGGATATGAATCCTAAGAGACCGCCAAGTTGAGTCAGATTTTTAACGTGCTAGCCCACAATGTAACAGTCCGCAGAAAGATACGTCACCTTACCCGGACACGTTTATCCGACTTCGACCCATTCAGTCTTTGACCTTACTCCTTAATGACGAGTTCTCAGATGAGAAACAGCAAAAATCAATTTTTAAGTTTTGGCTTGACCCGCCGTGGATCGAACCAAAGTTTAATAACAATCTCGAAGCGAGGAATTTACTATAAGATCGCAGAGACGGTTATAGAACGGTTTAAAGACCAAATCTAAACAAAAATTTGCAGAGCATTGAAAATTCCAAAAGTTCTTACTAATATAAAAAAAGAAGGTGGTTTAATTATTACTGACACAACTATCAACCAGAGATAAAATGCCGTAAATGTTAGCATCTATTGATTACCGCTAATTCTCTCTCTCTCTCTCTCTCTCTCTCTCTCTCTCTCTCTCTCTCTCCTTTATGCATACCTCATATTTCTAAAATATGATAGCAATATGACACAAATACTTACATAGGAGGTTTACTGAAAAAATAAACAACAAAACAATCAAATAAGATACCAAACAGCATACATAACTATGAAATATGTTTCAAAAGTAGAACAAAGAATATTTGAAATTGTATTCAATTCCGTACACGTCAACATATAGCAATTATGAGTTTAAGGAACTATTCACTGAAACATTGAATTAAACTTCTCATTAAAAAATTTCTTGGTCTTGTCGTTACATTCCCCTAATTGACTTTCGTTTGTTTTTTTTTTGGAAATACACACTTTTTTCAATTTTAAATAAGATAAACATATATGTGTAAACTAATGTCAGTATCAATGTATAGAATAACGCAGTTTTATTTATTACATTTTCTACATCGTATTGTTTACCCTTCCGGAGCATCTGCGATCATCCCATGTTTTATGTTGGGGTTTGTGTTGCTTATTCTTTAGTTTTCTATGTTGTGTCTTATGTACTATTATTTGACTGTTTGTCTTTTTTTCATTTTTAGCCATGGCGTTCTCAGTTTATTTTCGATCTATGAGTTTGAATGTCCCTCTGGTATCTTTCGCCCCTCTTTTATAAAACATCATATTTGGTAACTCAGGCTGTATAATATAAATAGTTATAACGTTATAAAAGCATTGTGGTGTCGGCCTTTATTAGGATTGCAAACATTTTTGGTTTTTTTTTTCAAAACGCAGAACCAGTATTAAGGCAGTTTTCTTGTAATATCGAAATGACTTGCATAACATAACGTTTTGTTAACATTAATCAACAATGGCCATATGAGAATCTTATTTAGTCATAAATCGTATGCAATTCCATATTACTATTCATTTTAAACAAGCTGGTTGAATTTAGATAGCTTACATATCTGATGAAGATAAATAAATTATATGTATATAATAAGATGTGGTATGAGTGCCAATGAGACAACTCTGCATCTTAGTCACAACTTGTAAAAGTAAACCATTATAGGTCAAAGTACGGCCTTTGTCCGTTTTTATTAGAGTGATTTGAGAACATATGTTTGACGAGTACTGGGGTCATTTTAATATTTACTATGGTAAAGCTAAACCATTATGCCAATAATAAAATTATATTTTTCCATGTTCATTTGAATATATCATATGTCAATATTTTTTGCCATAAGGCAATCTCATTCACTGTATTTTTATCGTTAATTCATACAAACAGGAATACTCACCCAGAAACAATTTCTGTCCTGAAATTCAAACAAATTAAAGTTAATGGTTGTTTTATTAAAAACTATTCCCATACAATGTGTACAAAAGATTAATAGTTAAAATAAAACAGACATATTTCATATTCTATACAATTATGTTGTAGTGCACATATACAATCTTTAGTTTCAATAATAATATTCGGGTATACAAAACATTAGATAGGCACGTCAATTAGAAATACAAATTTCAGAAATACGAATAGATATTGGCCTATTAAGTTATTATGTTGATCTACTACACAAATATTATAAAGATATCGACTTGATATTAAGCAGCGATCTAGATTTTAATCACAAAAGATAATAATAAGAAAAGTATCTGTAATAGAGATGCGAAGGATACCAAAGGGACATACAAACTCATAAGTCTAAAAATAAACGGACAACGCCATGGCTGAAAAAGGAAAAAGACAACAGACAAACAACAATACACAAAACACAACGGTAAGTCATACTCGGAGAAAAGGGGACGGGATTGTTATTACAACAATTGGAACATATCTGTTGTCATTTGTAAAACGGATATTCCATTACGGTCAACCTTCTCGTGATGGCGTCCGTAAATTTACAAAGGGACAATTTCAACTTCACCACTTGTAAATCTTAATTTAAAAGCTTCCTTGTGAGCAGCAACCCTCTATCTCAGTGTTTGGTATGATCTAAAGGAACGCACATCATTGGATATTCACTAAAGTAGGGTACTCGATTTTTGTTTTTGTTGTTTGCGTCTATATAAAAATAAAAAATGTTGTATATTTGTTAATGAGACAACTGTCCACCAGAGACCAAACGACGAAAACATCAGCAACTACAACTACAAATCACAGTACAGCCTTCAACAATGTCAAAATAATATCGTATAACAAGCTATAAAAGGTCCCGACATGACAAATGTAAAATTATTTTAACGAGAAAACTAAGACCTGGACTAATATAAACAAAAAATGTAAAAATTTGAAAGCAATCAAAATATTTTAGGAGTGAATAAAAATGGCATTGTGTTCAATAGTTGAGTTGCTTTTTGATAAAATTTCCTTTTTAGAATTTTGTTGACTTTTTTGTGTCCAAAGCTTCTGTTATATATCAAATGAAAACAAGAACAAAATCATCACACTTACTTGCAATTGTAGCATCTGTATCTGTGTTGTCTTCTTGGTGAAGTGTCTCTATAGAAATAGCATATCAAACGATTAGTAAGAATCCAATACACCTTATCACTATTTCACGGACATTACTGGACATCACAAAGGTTTCCGTAAAATGTATGACGCCACAAAGGGGTGTTTGTTGTATGTCGTGAATAGTTCAAATGTCGCAAATTCTCAGGTGTCGCATATTCTTAAATAGCGATAAGGTCTAAGGTTTTAAGATGTCGATGTTTTTTTTGCGTATTATATGTGTTGTTGAGTTGTGAGTCTCCTTATGGGGTTTTCGATTATGTTATAACTTGGCCATTTTAAGAATATTTTATTACCAAACCAAATATTTCATGATTATTTGATTATTTGATAATCCAGGACTGTATTTTTGATTATTTGGTTATCTTCTTTGAAAAAATATAACTAATGATTTTGTGATTATATCAGCCAAAAAAATATGTGATTACTTGGACAACCCCATGAGGGGCCTCAGTTGCAGTCTCATTGATGTTGATCCCACGTCTATTTCAACTAGAAATTTATTTAGGATACAATGTCATAATTTGGTACACCAGACGAGTGTTTCGTTTACATCATACTCATCAATTGCGCTCATATAAAAATATTAAAAACAAAGAAAACTAATAACTTCAAAAAGTCGTACCAAAATACGGTTTTGTTAATTCATGTATGGTAAGGAAATCCTTAGTGTTTCGAATTAATAAACATTATTCAACATAAAATAATAAAACAAAAATGTCATATATCAATGATATTTCATGTCAACAAATTAGTTCCTTCTTGATAACACATTCTACTCATATTTATATTGGTATGTCTTCTCAGAAACCTAAAAGTATTAAAAAATAAGTCTTGGTTTGCTTTCTCTTTCCTCGAATAGTAAAGTATCAAATACATGTCCCGTAATGACCATATTTGTGGGGGAAATGCTATTTCCTCCTTATAGTCTCATTTTAAATACAATAGATTCACTGAAATTTTGGATGCCGAAATTCAAATATGTGGACGATTTAATCGCTCACTGGTAAATACGAATGCATACCTATCATTTTCCTGTAGTTTCGGGTTTTCTTCTCTCTTTCCCGTTTCTCTGAAAAATAAAAATTATCTTGTCAACGATGTGCGTTCGATAATATTATGTGTGCATCAACATTCAAATGTTAATGAATCATACCTAATTTAGTCATAGCTAACACTTTCTGAGAATGCATGTGCCTTAAAAGTGTTGATTATTACTCTTTAAATTACCGACTCATAATTGGGTGCCATACAATCAATTCGTCTACATAACACTTATCAGTGGCACTCAACAAATCAAACCAGTTAGAAGGGTTAATAAGAAACGAAGTTGAAAAGCATAAAAAATATCGGTTCTTCAAAATAGATTTTATAAAATACGCCAAAAAATTGAGAATGATAATGGGGAATATGTCAAAGAGACAACAACCCGACCAAAGAGCAGATAACAGACGATAATGGCTGCATGTATTTGTGTCTTGAGTTAGAGAGCCTTCATAATTATTTAGAATAATTCAAAATTTTACAAATTGTATCTCATCCCTGATCGACACAATTGATGTGCCTAGAATTTTAATATAAAACTTGGCACCTTATGGTTACAGAATATAGAACGACAATTGTTATCAAAAGTGAACCTTGTACTTAATATTTACCATATGGCAAAATTTGGAGACTTTGCTAATTGGCAAAGCGGTCATGTTGTCTTAACACGAGGACAGCTATTACAATAGGATTATACCTGCCCTTTTAATAAAAATGCAAATATTCCAATTCCTAAGTCACACCAGCAATTTGTTGGCATAAAAAAAACCGGAAGCGAAACTGTAGTATACACGATATATAAAATAACGAAAAATCGTAAAGAGACAAGTTTCAAAATAGAAATTAAGATAAAAGATACAACAAGACATTTTCATGATTTGTTCGCATGTATGGAAACACCTTTTATGTTGAATTTTCAAGTTAAATAACTTTTATCTCGCCTGCTTTCTTAAATTCTTTTAAAATCATGATGAGTTTATCCTTCCCATTACGTAAATAGTCAAATTTTAATCATTTTTCTTAGAATTACACATCATATTTGTAAATATCCGCCAAAGGAAGTTTTTAAAGACACGTTAGTTTGAGACCCAAGACATAGATCGCTGGATTATCTGCAAATGTTGAATAATTTATATTTTCAATCTACAACTAAGGGAGGTAATTTAATTAAAAGGGCCAAAGTCACGTTGTGTAAATCATATGAATAAAGTACCTAGGATTTTGCCATATGCAATGAAATAACAATTATATTCCATGGCATCCCAAAGTTGACGACTTTTGAACTTTGTGTCCCAATAACTAACAACAAACTCACCCAAATGTTAAATCTCCAATCAGTTTCTTTATTTCACTTCTTGGTGCCCTGTTTTTTACATATTTTACCGATGGCATGACAGTAAGCTGCTTTAATTCTACAGTAGCGATTTGTGACTTTATTTCTTTCAGTTTTAGAAGCAAAGCCGACGTTTCTGTTATCTGTTGTGCCTCTTGATAGATCCTGTGCTGCTCCTTTACCTTATTCAAATCAGTCTTAAATGCATTACCAATAGACTGTAAGGTTTGAAGTTGCGTTGTGTGTTGCTCTTTCACTGATCTGATAAGATCTTCAACTTGTGTATCAATAAGCTCTTTCAACCGTATGCCTTCTTTTCTTATGGCATGCATGACTCCATCGACATCACACTGATATGCATTTGTTCCTTGTTCGATACCCATTATATTTGTGTTAAGTTTGTTCAGCTTTATATTTATTTCGCTCTCGATCTCAGCTTTGTTTATTTCAGTTGATGTGTTAATTTCACATAAATCATGCTTTTTATGATTTTCAATAACACATATTTTACATATTAGTGTATCACATTCCATGCAGTAATATATAAAGTTTTCATCATGTTCGTTACAGTATTGTTTAACTTCCGGGTTAATGTTAGAGCCACTCAAAAATGTGTGATTCTTTGTCATTTTTGTCCGTTAATGAGATATTTTACATCCATCACAAAACAACTGGTCACACTGTTCACAGTAGTTATGTCCAGGACTTGAAACACAAATTTCACAAGTTTTAAAAGCTGCCTGCGCCATTTTTTGTTAGTTTTGTTTACAGGTAGTTATGTGACACTGTAAATTTAAATCACTGTATTATACGGATATGCATACAATTTTCCGGATCATACCTTTATTATTGTTTGATTCAAGGTAAAAATTAAGCTTTAACAAATTCTACCGTTTATTGAACTGATAAATATTTGTTCTGCTACTATTGTTTTGTATCTTTAATACATGTAACTTTATGTTTCAAAGTGAAATAGGTATGTTTTCCTTTCAATATCCTTTTTTTTTTTAACTTTTTTATATTTCACATAGGAGTCAATTGATGCCTTTTTAAATGAAATGTTTATTGATGAATACATTTATATAAAAATAAGAAGATTTAAAAAGTTATACTAGTATATACTACCTACAATATAAATAAGCCTTTACTATTTATACTGGTAGTGTAGTGTGTATTGTAATTTATTTGTGTAATTGTATTACTATCGATGTTACATTTCATTTCGCATTTAATTCAATTCAGAAGAACTTAGGGATATCGTTTTAAATAAAAATTATACATTGAAGGCATGCAAAGTAGAGTTGTTATTACCCGGGGTTGTAAACTTGTCTTGCTATAATTTGTTTAAGTATATATATTTGGTTATCCAAATTTTCGCATGAGAAAGTTATCGCTACTCTCATCGCCTATACAGCGGTAAATTAGTTTCATTTATTTTACTTTTTTTGATACATGCTTACATAAAATAGTTTTAATAAAGTTGGATAAGTTTATCATCATGTCTTTGCGATTCCAATTTCCATGAATGTACAAGATCCTCTGACATAACACTCATAAGGTCTGCTCGACTCCAAAAGTTTGGATTGGTTGATTGATTGTTGGTTGCTTAACGTCCAGTGGCAAATATTTCATGCATATTCAAAACAGGAAATGAGGGTAAATTGGATATGGACAGAAATTTAGCCTTGTGACTGCAGGTCACCTACGGACCCCTCAAAGAGTTGTTGCAAGGGTTCTTAACGTGCAAAGAGCGTGGCACTCTATTCACACGCGGCATCGGATTTAACGTCCCCATTCTGACCGGATGCGGCTGCAAATTTGTACATCCAGCACAGCTAAACGGACTCCCCAATGATGACCATACTTCTATTCACCAGTCACCCCTGTTTGGAGAGAAAAGAATTAAAATATAAAACAAGTAAGAAAACAAGAACAATCTTCACAGACGCAAGAACAAAAACCGCGACCGAAATACAAACTAAGTTTTTTTTAACATTCCATGAAACCGGAAAGGTACTCCCATTACACTGACGTTGTGTAATAGGATTGCTGTCTATGTAACATTTCATTCCTAATCTAATTTAATTCTATTCAATTTTGGGTTAATGGAATATCGTATGAAATAAAATAAATACTACAGATAACGAAGTTATAAATGGAATGAATCAGAGTTGAATCCAGGGTTGTAAATGTGTCTGGCTATAATTTTATTAGTTTATTTGTTAGGTCATAAAATTATTCGAATAGGAAAGTTACCCCTGCTAGGAAAAATAATTTAAATATAAAACATGTATGAAAACAAGAAAATAAACGTCTTCACCGAACAAAAACCGCGACCAAAATACAAACAAAAATATAAAGGTATAAAATATATATCATTTGCATTACGCTGATGTCATTTGTTGCTCTCTGTCACACTTTCAACCATTGTTAAAAAACAGGACGATGTTGTTTTTTATTTCTTAAATTCCTCTCAATTTTACCGTATTCGGCTGTAGTATATAGCCTTTATGTGTTAACATGTGTATTGTAGTGTTACCGTAACAACACAATTACACATGTCAAATGCAATAGTTTTCTTATATTTAAAACGTATCGTGTTTACGCAAAATTTAGATGTGGTGTAGCCTCACTGAGGATTGAAACTGAGAGATATGAAAATATTGTTTTAGAGTGTGCCATATAATTATGTGATGGTTTTATTGAAGACGAAGTGCATGTTTTATTATAGTTGATGTGTTTCCTCAGTTTTAGGTTATAACCCTTTGTTTTCTCTTAATCGATTTATGACTTTTGAACAGGAGTATACTACTGTTGCCTTTATTTATTACGATGTTCACTTTATGACGATTTTATAAACTATTTATATCATGTTGCTGAAAATTTTAATACTTGAGATGACAACCAAATTCCTCAGATGAAAACATGGTACGTCTGTGTACGTATTTTGATGTAGTATATCTATGCAATTTAATAGTCTCTTATAATTCTGTATAGAATGGCTCTCATTTTATGCAGTATTGTTTTATAATTTATAAATATCGATTGTACTTGTTGAGAGATGAGACTTTAATAAAACATTGAGTTGAATTATATTTCGATACATGACTCTGAACAATTAAATTTGTATGTAACAGGTAATACATTTGTTTACCATCTGTGCACCTGTTAAAGGGATAATGTTACAGATAACTCTTTATTAATAATTACATCACCGGGGTCAACAACACACACAAATCGATCTATTTATATACTTCAGTGTTTAAACCTGTTAAAGTTATACGATAATAAATTGATTAACGACAAAATTAAGATCATTAATTTGAAACTGAACAAACCTTTTTATAGACATAAGTTGTGACGATATCTGTATCTATACAATGAAATAACGACAAAGAAAACAAAATCGCACCACGATTTTTTTTTCTTAGCTTATAAAGTCACCACAAACGAATGTCGGATGACATATTGCTTTTCCTCTTTTTTCCCCTATTATTATGGCACCGAACGTAGTTTTGGGACATATTGTTAGTCTACGTTTCTTTCTTTTTATTATTATTATTACTATTATTATGATAACCTAAACTGAGTTCGGGTGACATATCGTTATTATACGTTTCTTTTTTTTTTTTCTTAACATGGTACCCCGGTTGGAGTTGGGGCGATCAATTTGCTATCCTTAATGCGAAATTTTAATTTTTTCTTCTTCCTGCTTTGGGCAAGATTTGACGTGACAGTAAAATAGTTCACATTTGCATTTAACACGTAATAATTATTAAAATAATAGTAAATGTCTAGTACTAGCTATTCTTTTTTAATGATATCATAACATATGGATGAGGTATTAAGGAATGATGCATATTTACTTCACAATCTAATTAAAATATATAGATCTCGGATTTCGTTATACTACGTTATACTACATACGAGGCTCGTATGTAGTATAACGTAGTATAACGAAATCCGAGATCATTTTGATTAAAATTCAATTTAAAGATTTTATTGTTAATATTGATTATATATAAATAAAAGTGGTTGGGTCAAGGTTCAGCTTATTATACATTAATACAAATCCTTTTCCATGCAAGATGAATAAAATAATTTTTTTTACATAACAATAACATTAATTTATAAAACATTTTGTCTCACAGCAAATCAGGGTAGGCATACACCCTAATTTAACAATTAATTAAATTATACTTTTTATAAAAAGTTATAACTTAAAAAAAACATCAGGGGTATGTGAATATAGACAGTTATAACAATTAAGGGGGTACCCAACACTATACCCCAAAAAAACCGTCGTTTAATTTTTCTTTTTTTTTACATCATTGATAAGTTAGGCCTAGCTGAGCATCATGTAAAAATTTTTAAGGATTTGAACCGTTGGTAAAAAAGTTATGGCCACCCAAATATGGCATGGGTCACATGCTAATTTCGGTCGATTTTTGAAGTTCCAGAAATATGGATATAGGGCTATTCATGTTATTTTTTTTTGAAAATTTAGCCTGAATTGACAAAAGCAAAATTGATAGTGATGAATAAGGCAATTTTGAGTTGATTGATACCCTTTACTTATAAGTTTTTGTTTCTAAATTCAAATTTTAGTCTGAATTAAAAATGGGGGTCTAAGATGAAGCAACCAAAAATGACTGTGATTGGTAAAATATTTTAAGATAAAAATTTTGATTTAAAAAAAATGTGTCGTTTATTTTTTTTTCAAAAACTAACCATTTGTAGTACTTTATCAGTCTGTTATTCTCGCAAAAAATTAGAGCAATCTGACCGTCAGATTGATTTAAATTCAAGATAAACATACCCCCCCCCCCCCTCAATAAATAAGAGCAAGTTCCATTCTGATAGTACATATAAGCCATAACTTTTTTGTTGTTTGATCTAGGCCTTATATATTTTGCATGTAGATGTATCATTGAGAAGTTTAGCATCTTATACCATGATTATCTTTGTGTGACCTTCAAATTTGACCTCAAGGTCAAATTAATGCATTTTTCATAAGAAACATGACCAGGTCACCATTTTTTTGTCTTTTGACTTATGCCTTACATCTTTGGCATATGGATGTAATATGATGAGATGGTGTGTCCCCTTACAATTATGACTTTCATGTGACCTTAAACATAGACCTGAAGGACGATAACTGTATTTTTGGCAAGAAACACTTGACCTGGCTATGACTTGTTGTCTTTTGAGGTAAGTTTGAGATATCTGGCTGTTTCATTCAAATCAATTCAATACAATTCACTTCAAAGATTTATTTAGAGTTGATATTTAGTAATCAAATACATACCACACAATCTCTAATGATTTATACAAATCACCCATACAACAATATAGACACATATTACGACATATCAAAAATTCAATGCATACAAAATACCTAAAATACATGCTATCAAGACAGAAAATTACTTGCAATTCCATACAATTTCAAAAAAGGCATAAGTTTCTATTGAAACAGATTTTAGAAAAACTACTAACAAACTAAATAAATTACAATTAAAATTTATCATTCAAGATTTTTTAAATTTTAAAAGCAACTAAAACAAAAATGTGTCCATAGTACACAGATACCCCATTCACACTATCATTGTCTATGTTTAGTGGACTGTGAAAATGGGGTAAAATCTCTAATTTGGCATTGAAATTAAAAAGATCATATCATAGGGAACATGTGTACTAAAAATATATATATAAGTTTCAAGTTGATTGGACTTCAACTTCATCAAAAACTACCTCGACCAAAAACTTTAACC